GTAGTATATCGTCTCTACTTTTTGTTGGCACGTGATGCTGTTGACTGTATATTCCATTTTTGATAGGGATTTGACTCTGTGTAGGTACTAGCTGTATGTATATGATTCAGTATATTGGATAATTGATTCGTAAATGAAAATTGCTGCGCAACTGGGAAATAAAGCAGGTGGCCTAGGCCAAAACAAAAGCTAAACTGACGTCTATTGTTTTTGCATACCCTGGAATATAATGCAACACGCAGTCGGCTGTATTGATTAGGATCAACAATATACGAGTTTACTTAGGTCCGTTAATAAGGCTCTGGTCTATTTATCCACTTAACTGTCTGTGCATCCATCTGCCCGCCCAACTATCCGTTTGACACTATCTATACTCGTCCGTCCGTCTGTCTCACGTCCGTCCATCCATCCGTCTCCCCACTTATCTATCCGTCTAATAGTCGATTTGTTTGTATATTCTTCCATCCAATCTGCCTGCTTATCTGTGCGACCGTCTTTCTTCTTCTCGTCCGCCTGCTTTGCTATCTCTTCGTTCACTTCAATCTCGCAAGTCCAAGAAATTGGCTAGATATTTTCCCATATACGCAGTTCAAATTTGTTTTAAGATATCGATATTTGTTTTAATTTTCTTCCATTAGATAAGAAGTCCATAAGAAACTACCGTATATTTAAGAATATTATATACAAATAAAAGTCAAATACTTTATATTTACTACTAACTACTACCCGTACTTTCTGTATCAAAGGTAATACAGGGTATCTTTTAGTCGATCACGCTGAGTTGTTTTTAGTTTACTCATTTAACAGCTGCAATTAACGTTTATTAAATGGGCTTTTACACTCTTTCTGCCTGCGTATGCATGCACGTACATAAATATATTAGGGGTACTCTCGCATTTTTTTCAGCTAGCCAAAGGCAGTTACTTTATATTATATAAAGATTTCTAACGTTATAAGAAATTAAAATTTATTATTAATTTTTTCTAATTTATTGAGCTCTGCCATAAAAATGGTTTAGCTATTAAAATTATATTATGTGCGCTTATTCAGAGGCACGTGCTAGTCAGAAGCTAAAACTGGCCACAAAAGCATCGTGTTCTCTAGATATATAAATATGCATATATTTCATCTATCTAAGCAGAAATCTACGTACTAGATGTGCGTCTAAATATAAATGTCCCATTTAAAAATTCGCACGAAAATGCTTAGAAAATGTTGTGTTTCAAAAACTGTAAAAGTGAAAAAAGCTATACATATACTATATATGATATATGTATATACTTATATACATATATAAAAGATATTAGAGAGACATTAGTTGACGGTTTTGTTAGAGAACAAACACAGCTCAAAGCAGCACAAATAAACATGAAAATGTATCATATCAAATGTTTTATATATTTATACAATATTTTGATATGATATGAGATGTGATGTGTGTATATAAAGACGTCATGAGAATGTTTACATAAGCTCCATTTATTAGAACAAAAATCAATAAACATTAGAGGGGAAAAAAGATGTCAAATCAACAAGAATTGCTTGCAAACGCAACTGAAGATATAGTTTATCGGACCAGACAGGTGATATATACATATATATATATATGTATATATATACATAGACAACAAATCTGTTTAAGATAGTAATGTTGTCAAGATAACACGCACACACAGGCGCACACACAAGCACTTGATATTGACAGAGCAACAGAGTTGATATAGTTTTTAGCGAACAAAAAACATTTGTGTTTCTCTTTGTCTCTCACCTTCGTTGACATAGGGTTTGGAGGCAGCATTGGCCAGGCAACGTGGACAGGATGCAGTCAGATCGATCATGCTGTGCTCCGGTGCAGCAAAAGGCAGCTCTTTGTGAACGAAGGTGCTTGGCGTGAGCGGGTCTGTGTGCGGGTGTTTGTTTGGTGTTTGCGATAGAATGTCGCGATATCAAAATTAATAATAATAATAATAAAAAAACAACAAAAAAGAAAAATTTTATATAACCCAACGATCCGATCCTATGCATAGTCTATACATATCTATATACACGTTTCGATCGCTTGTCAAGTGATTTCTGCACTCGTGACCAAAAGCAGATTAATACTTCTTATATTTGTTTTTTATTTATTTATAACTTTATAAGTCAGGCCATTAACTCATTAGGAGTTTACGTTGTTGCTTGGACTTGATACTGCAAGCAACAAAAACGATTGAGTTAGTTGCTGGTGCTTGACTGGGAAGATACCCTGTTCGCTTTAACTCTATTATAGATATTCGAAAGTCGTATACTGTATATGCAAATATATAGAAGTAATACATATAGTTTTATTATAGTTTGCTCATCCATGGGATACTGGACATATATTATATATGAATTGATCCCGATGAATTTAATGAATATAGAAAACTAGCAATCGAATCCTGGATACTTGGTATAATCTATATTGATTCTATACATCTGGATATAGAGATATTTTAAAAGTTAATGTTCATTCTCTAATAGCTTCTTGAACTTAACTTAACTTGCATAAGCTAAACAGCACTATATAAGAATACGGCCAGGCTCTATAGACCTCCATAGCTAATCTTTACTAGTTTGCGTCTTTTACAGAGTATACGAAAAAAAGTCCCGTCCCTCATGGCTTAAGTACGCAATTGACAAATTAGTTTTGGAAATCGGTATACAAAAGACATCTAGACACGCAAATTCTTAAGTATTCATGGGCATTATTTATCGACTTTTTGAGGTACACAATTATATATATATACATTTTCCTTTGTCTCTTTTGAATAACGTTGAAGCAAATTACATAAATGAACCTTTACTGAAGACGTGACATTCAAAAAGGGGGCGGACAGTGATGCCCCACAAATTGACAACAAAAACGAAAAACATATAGAGTGTAGAGACTATCTCGTATTTAGGACATATACTATATGGCACACATAGAGTATATAGACTGTATAGTAAGTACAACGAGCATGTATAATATGTAGAGTACTTAGTATATGGACCATATAGCCTTATAGTGTATAAATTATCTATGGAACATGTGACTATATTGCTTATAAGTTATACAGCATATATTATAGAGTATAGAGATTATATTCTCTGTATAGACTATATTCTCTATAGAGACTGTATTTTATAGAGTATATACTTTCTTGTTGGCAGCTGAGCTAGTCGCTGTTGTTGTGGGAGGCTGTACACAAATATAAACACAGATATAAGACTCAATGTATATAGATATATAAATATATATGCATATACAAACATATACATACATACAAATATATATAGAGATATAAAGCATATAGTCGCATGCTTTCCTCTGTTCTTTTCAAGTAAATATTTTTGTTTTATTTTTGTGCTCAAAAAAACGAACTTGACAATTCTCCCAAGAGACATATGCAGACATTGAAAATTCTCGAGTTCTCATTATATGACCACAAAAATATCTTAAAAGTCAAAATAGCAAAAACTAAACTTATCTAAATCTAGCAATGTCTTTAGACTTGGATTACAGATTAAAAGTTTGTTTGTGAGAGTTTTTTTTTTTTTTTTTTTAGATATGGGAATATGCTTGCAAAGGTAAATTCTCGAATCTGCTCTTTTCTTCTCTTAGAACTTACCCTCATCTTCGGTTAGATCTGAGAACTTGACGCCTCCGCTAGAGTTTTTAGCAAAGGGGAGAGATAAAAGAGATAAAAAGAAGGATGAGTAAACCAAAATCTTTGATGTTTCAAGAATAGACACTTCTCGTGTAAAGACTACATTAAATTTGATATTATTTTTTTAATTTATTTAATTTTTTTTTTCTTTATTTAAAAGAGAGAAGTTTCAAAGAAAGGGAAGTTTGAGATAGAGATAAAAGTGAATATATATATTTTTGTATTATATATTTAAATATCGTACTATATACGTATATTTTATGCAAGGCAATAAGGAACGCAATCAAATCAAATCGTTTACTTCTTGAATGCCGCACAAACAAATAAATAGAAGCAAAGGGGGACAGCTCGAACAGACACGGTCATAAATATATCCATTTCAAAGATATTTGAGAGTGCGCTCATATAACTGCCGTTTGGACTATCCAGCTATCTCACTTTGCCAGTATTCTTTTACATTATTTATTTTTTTATCAAAATAATTTTTTTTTTTGGTTTGGTTCGTTTGTGTTGATTGATGCATTTACCTGAGTAGAACTGTCGCCGTTTCAGGCACGCGGAATACCTGAAAATATTTAACATGCTCATTGCTTTGTTTCGGTAGCGATTTTGTATTTTTTTTTTTATAGATTTTTAAACCTTTTTTTTTTCTTTTTTGCAATTGCTAAAGCATTATTTTCATAGCATGATAACAACGAAACACATATATAATATATATATATATGTGTGTTTTCATTTATTTTTATATATGTATACCATTAAACAGTACTTACAACTGCCGCAGGTAAAAGCCCAGTATATACGTTTTTTATACCCTGAGCCCATTTTCAATGGGAAATCAGGGTATAATGGTTTTGTTTTTGTTTAGTATTTAGCCTTATATCTAAAATTTTTTTGTAAATTTCTAGCTGACCGAAACTCACCTTCCATCCCAGATTCTCAAAGAACGTGCATAATCGACTCTGGCCAGTGGTTTTTCCACCGCATGGACCTGTCGAATAAAATAATAATAACAACAAAAAACGTGAATTAATGCACTTGAATAGCTTTCGTCTCAATTATTATTGCCTAGCCTGACTGGCCCTGACTGTACAATTAAAATTGTTGCATCTGTCGCCTGTGCGCAGCGATGAGGAAATTAAATGTAAATTTCAATTGATTTGAACTATAGGAATTTCTGGGCGATACAGATTGCGAATTGAACTCATTCATGAGTCTTGAACCCTGTCGACAAGTTTAACTATAAAATTTATAAATTTACATAAAGAAAGGACTTAAATATCGATTACAATTTGAACTAATTTAAGCAATTCTCGTCTATCTTTTCAGCTATCGATATTGCGTACAGCCAGGCTTAACAGATTTACATTTACATAAACAATATGAGTGGGAGCTATCTTTGTGTTGCTATCGATAGTTAACTTCAATTATCAAATAGTTCATATTTACGTAAATGTATCTGAGATTTTGAATGTCGACTATTTAAAACAGAAAACTGTTTGCTTAAATGTTTTGCAATATAACTTTTATAGATTCTCTAAAGCCGGTACTTTTTTTTTTACCAGATAAGTTAACGTTATTCACATTTGACGTAAGCGGTTTTTTTTTCTTAATAAACAGCTGTTCGTTAGCTCAAAAGTCTATAAGTGTCTGTAAGTCTATTCATTTGTTTTTATTATTTTTTGTATTTGATTAGACAAACGGAAATGATACGAGCGAGGCCATATATATGTATTTATATAAGTACAAGTAAACAATCACCTATATACCTATATAATGTATGTTTAATCAAAACTATTATGTGCCAAATTAATTGATTGATCGCCCCACGCGCCAATTTTTTTTTGATAACTGTTCTTGCTCTCGTGGCACCACGAACGGGTTTTTTTTTGGCGCGCTTATGTGAAGTCGAGATCAACATATGTAAATTGTAAAAAGAAGAAAAAAAAAAAAACACCGGTAGAACACACAGAAGCCATAAACTAGTTTAATAAATCGCTGCATTAACATATCAAAAAATGAAACCGCTAATTGAAATTTTAAATAAAAAAGTGAAGCTACTTTTCAATCCTTGGTGTGGGTAGCTGCGCAGGCGAATTGAAAGAAACTACCCCAACAACAGGGTCCTGGCGACCTTGACATACATATTTATATGTACACATATCGTAAACAAACAGATACAGATACAGCCACAGATACAGAAAATATTTATATACACATATGTACATATAAAGGTTTTCACTTACCGCCAGTTAGGACAATTTTATAGACCCGAGTTTCCTTTGCGCTGGGCACAGATCCCAATTTCGTTTTTAGATTGGACATTTCATTTAGCTTGAGAGAAGGTGCTTTTACGATGCTCTCCAATTGATGCTGTTTCTGCTCTTTTTTCTTTTTTGGATTGGATTCTGAGTTTAAGGTCGTGCCGTTCGGTTGCAACATAGGTCCGACACTCAGCTTCGATTGTTGTCCATTGGTTGTCGGTACCAGGGCAGGTGCCATCACTTGGTCGGCTGTTGTTGCCATGCTTAAAGGGCGCAACAGCAACAGCTGTTCACGTCAAATGAATCCAAGTGAGTGTGAATCCTTGCTGTACTTTCCACCGTACTCTTCACTTTCTCTCTCACTTGCACGCTCTCCGTTTGAGTACACGTGCTTTTAGGTTAGAGTGCAGATGGCCTCTGTGGACTGCAAAATCATCGCAATACGTAAAAATTTTTTTTCGTATAGAATGAAGCAATTGCGTTCTTGTTAAAGTCAATAAATTTAGTTGAATTTGCTTTATTACCGCTGTTACTTGTTGACAGTTAGAAATCCTCTGAATATTGTGCTGTTGGGCATGTCTAATGGTTCAGAAAAGACGCGGGCATTACAGAAACAATTCAATGTGCCAAATTTCCTTTTATTGTCGACTATTTATACTAAGCGAGTTGGCTTGGATAGGACGACACCCGACGACCTCGTGGTCAGACAACTGTGAATTCGTAATAAACCACATCCGAATTTATAGATATCAAAGTTTAGAAATTCTGTGATAGAACATCATCTTGCGTGTTTTCGATTTAAAGCAAAACTAATCTAACTCGAAAAGCACTAGCACACTTTATACGCCGCAACGTCTGTTACATTAATGTTAACTAACAGGTCGTGAGCACCCTTACAAATGAAATTAGATTCGTGCTATCGATAAGTGTTCATAACAATCAGTAACGATCCTAGTGATTATTTTGTAATAACAAAAAATGCGAAAGAAAAAATCTAAAGTACCATCTACCATTTGTAACAAATAAAACATTTTAGGTCTTTGCAATACCATCACCATTTAATATAAATTTTTTGAATACACATTTTGTCTATTGTAGCTATAATGAACTAGTTCATTACCCAATGCTAAACTATCGAGTTATTAGAATAAATTACACAGTATATTGTTACATTTATATTTATAAATCAACTCTACCATAATTAATTGTTAATTATTTTTGGTTTTTGTTAATACTGTAGGAATTTCTATACAAAACTATGAGTCATCATATCAGGTGTAAATAACATTGTGTGAACATTAAAAAACAAGTTAGCAGCTTTTTGACTATAATATCAATATGTTGGTATTTTTGAGGTCAAATTTAGAACGCAATCTGCCTTTCGATATATTTTGGGTTTATTGTGTTACTTGAACTGCAGCTGAAATGTCGTGTGTGGAGTGCCTAAGCATTATCATATGTGCAATAACATCAACAACAGAACAAAAAGATTGAACTAACTATATTAAGGATCTTCTTAGCACAATCTGCCTGGAGATTTTTACAAATATATAGTAAAAAATTGTGTGTTTGGGTAGTGCGTAATTTTTCAAGATTCTCAATCATACAAAAATACATACTGACATACCTATATATACATACGTAACATGTGTGAGCGCGAGTGAGAGCAAAACGTCAACATGACAGCAACGACAACAACAACAATAACAACAGCAAAGTAATAAAGAGAGAGATAGAAAGTGAGTGTGAGAAAGAGAGAGAGAGCCCCAGCCAGCTGTGCAGGTCGTCGTGGTCGATTTCTGTTTTTAGGCTCCCCCAATAAGGAACAAAAATTTTCAGTCAAAATTTAGTTATTTTCATTGATCAAGAGCCGAGCGAGTGTCATAGAATAAATATTATAATAAAAAATTGTTCGTTATTGAATTAAGGTTGTAATACAAATTGTTATGCACATATTCAATCTATACAAACTCAAGTGCATCATTTTACACACGCTGCGTCATACTTGGACTTGGACATTCGTTGTATTTGTCGCCAAGCTACTCAATAATTGGTGTCGCCGAGCGATCAATCGCCAGGAGCAGCCCCAGCTCCATAACAATAACAATAATAACAATAACAACGTAATGGAACAGGAAATCCAAGACGAGGCGCCTGAAGCGCCAGAACAACATCAACAGGAACAGCAAGTGGATCAGAATGCCATAATCAATGCAATTATTGCAGACGAGCCAATGGATGCTAGCGATGTAGAGAACGAGGATGCTGACGACGAAATCGATATTGATGACGAGGAGGGCGATGTTGATGACGACGAGAACGATGTCAGCGACGAAGATGAATCTGATCCCGAATTGGAGGAAATGTATTCCGATAACGATTGGACCACATCAAACGATGAAAGCGAAATGTCGACAACCACATCGAACGTCGGCCTGGGACCGTTTGAGCCCATAATACCACAGTCGACGCGACCAATGTACAGCTTCCAGCCAGCGCGTTTGATCAAGTGCCAGTTTAAGGATAAGCATTGCATTGGTGGCTTTCCGCTGGGACGCAGTGGCCATCGTATTATTGCATCGAAATCGCATCTCTATTCGCTTGGTGGCTATAATCCGCGCAGTGCACTGACGGCCGCCCGGCGCGGCAGGTGTCTGCTCTTCCAGGAGCTCTGGAGCTACAATTTCGCCACAAATCACTGGACACTGGAACTGAATGCGGACAACGCCAGCAATATGCCCACAGAGCTCGCTTCCAATGCGCTTGCCATTCACAACGATGTGCTTATTGTGAGTATTGCAATACAAATATTTTATTTGTGCCTACCAATGTGCCGCAGAGATTCAAATAGACAGGAGGAGAGAAAGAGAGAGAGAGAGAGAGAGAGAGAGCACAAGTTTCTAAGTCGACTAACAGTTGCTCTTTCAGTCTTGCATGTCACTTTATATTGCATGTTTACCTACGTAAAACTGCGAATTATTCATTTCCAATGGGTGCAGTGTATAAAAATAGATGAAGCTTTGTGTGTGTGTGTGTTTGTGAATTTATAAAAACTAACACATCTGTTGGTGTTAGTGGTGGCATTTCGCCCCCCACACACACACACATCGCCCAGCGCCCTTGTCGCGCTCACGCTAAACTTGTTTTAGTTTGGCACAAAAGCAAGCAGCAAAACATAATCGTGGTCGTAGTCGTAATCGTTATCGTGCGACATAATTTGCATTCGTCGCATCGCTGGGCGCCGATCCGATCGACGTCGACGTCGACATCAACGTTAGTCTCTGCCATTGTCGCTGCCTCAGCCTGGGCTCAATGCCACGCCCGACACACAACGCTACACGTTGCTAGTCCACTGTCTGCCTTGCTTGCTTGGCTCGCTTTTGCTTATCCGCTCTCGCTTTGTTTATGCATTCTAAACATTCGATTGTCCCTCGCCCCCACCATTAACAAAATACAAAATACACACATACATATGAACATGTAATAAAAGCCAAACAGCTGCGCGTTGTCCGCTGCTTATGTTGCTATCTCTTTTATGCGCATGCCCAACGCCTGTAGCTCATCCCTCTTGGCAACTACGCAGTTGTTGTTTATGCTACTGCTGCTGCTGTTGCTGCATGCAACAACTTGTTTACCAGGTTTTCCCACTGTCAGCACCCCCCCCTCCACGGCTACTATGAAAAACCCCTCCCCCTTTAAGCATTTGGCTCCACTTCAAGAGGCTGTGGCTTGCGCGCGCTTTTTCTTTTGACGTGGTTTTTTAACGTACATTTGTATGTATGTATGTATGTGTGTACGTACATATATTTCTATGGCGTCTGATTGTCTTGTGGCTGTGACTTTTACTAGGTTTACCGTATAATTCAACTTCAGCATCCACACCAGCATTCACCTGGGCACTTAAGTGGCCCAAATTCAATTTTCGTTGTGCACTAACAGCCGAGAGACAATCAAAAATAAGAGAGGGGCCTAATTATAATAGATATATGTATAGTTTTACTATGTATTTATGTATATGCATATGTCTTTTATTTGTGTAACAAAAACTTGGTTGATTTATAAAGGGCAAATAAGTTTCATCAGTTCAACCAGTCTTACAGTAGAGACTGCCTAATCCGAGCTTCAAGAAAATCTCTTTGCAAAACACAATATACATACATACGTATAGTAAAGCCTAGCCCTAACTTTATATATTTGTGTGTCTATCTGAATTACATATTACCAAAACTTTCAATGTCTACAAGAAAATGTCTCAACGTACATATGTATATACACACATATGTACATCATATGAGCAACAGTCATACAGAGCGAATATACGCATTAGGCGAACTCGCTTTAGTTGCGTATCACCCACTTCCCCATTCTCTCTCTCCTTCTCTCTCTCGCTCTGTGAAGGTCAAGCTCTTTATAGTGCATGAAATGCAACGGGTGCAGTTAGCTGTAAGTTGATTGAACGATTCTCTCCAAATTTAGAACTCTCCACACATTCCCATTTCTCTAGTCATTCGCAAGTCATTGTATTGTCAGTATGTTGTAGAGTTTTGGACATTAATTAGGCCCCTTTTGTTGAGGCTTGTTCGAGTAGACTCTTCAGCATTTGAGATTTTGTTTTTTCGACTTTATGCTGGTTGCACTGCCCAAACGTCGAGTGCACAATTAGTTTTAATTAGAAAGTTAATCAGATAACATTGAAACCCG